CAGCTGTCTCACCTTGGGTAAATTACTACCTCTCTGTGATGGTTAATTTTAGGTGTCAACTTAACTAGGTTAAGGGATTCCCAGACAGTTGGTAAAGCATTATTTCTGGGTAAGTCTGTGAAGTTGTTTCTGGGAGAGACTGACATTTGAGTCAGTGGACTGAGAAAGGAAGATCTGCTCTCACCCAGTGTGGATGGGCACCGTCAAATCAGCTGAGGGCCTGGAGAGAACCAAAAGGCAGGGAAAAGGCGAATTTGCTCTCTCTTCCGGAGCTTCTCCTGCCTTGTACATGAGGACTTCAGGGTCTCTGGCCTTCAGACTCTGGGAGTTTTGAACAGGCAGCCCCGAGGTTCTCAGGCCTTTGGCCTCTGATCAAGAGTTACATCATTGTCTTCACTGGTTCTGAGGCCTTGGGACTTGGACTGAGCTATACCACTGACTCCTCTGGTTCTCCAGCTTGCAGACTACCTATCGTGGGCTTCTCAGCCTCCATAATCACATGACCCAGTTTCCATAATAACCCTGCTCTTGTCTGTCTGTCTGTCTGTCTATCTATCTATCTATCTATCTATCTATCTATCTATCTATCTATCTATCCATTCTATTGGTTCTGTTTCTCTGGAGAACTTTGACTAATATACTCTCTGAAGCCCAGTTTCTTCATCTGTTAAGTGTGAGTAATAATAACACCTTATCTCATAAGGTGGTGGCAAAGGAGTAAAATAGAAATAGTAGCACTCAATGAATATTAGATTTTTTATCATTAATATTACTGTGACACACAGAGATCAAAAAGTAGAAAACTTACCCATAGCTGTCAGTCTCCGTTCATCTGAAACAAGGGTAAAGAGTAAGACCGGGCCGGGCGTGGTGGCTCATGCTTGTAATCCCAGCACTTTGGGAGGCCGAGGCAGGTGGATCACGAGGTCAAGAGATGGAGACCATCCTGGCCAGCATGGTGAAACCTCATCTCTACTAAAAATACAAAAAAAAAAAAAAAAAAATTGGCTGGGCATGGTAGTGTGTACCTGTAGTTCCAGCTACTCTGGAGGCTGAGTCAGGAGAATTGCTCGAACCCTTGAACCCAGGAGGCGGAGGTTACAGTGAGCTGGGATCGTGCCACTGCACTCTAGCCTGGCAACGGAGTGAGACTCCATCTCAACAAAAAAAAAAAAAAAAGTAAGACTGGCACACCATTGGCGAGTTGGCCATGCAGGAGCTGGGTCTTTGCTTCCCTGTGCCCAGGGCTGCTGGATAAGGAATATAATATTTCCTGTGCAGAATTCAGAAGGAAGACTTTCCCGTCTAGGAAGAGTTGACTTGTGAACCACCTTTGGCCTCATGCTGTCATCACCTCCCCACATCCCACTTCCCTTTGTAAAGCATAAAACATTTTAATACCTACAAAACACTATATTTTGTGTTGTTACTCTGGAGTTGGGCAGGTTGCACTGTCAGTACAATCTTATTCATTAAAGATAAGTCAGCAGGACATTTGGCCTGGAATAAATGATGGAACAAAGTCAAACCATATTCAGTGTTTTCTCAGAGATGTTCAAGACAAACAACAACTTTAGTGGAAGAAGAAGACAGGAGCCCAGGTCCTGTGTTTCACCAGGACAGCCATGCAAAGCAGAGGCTGCCGAAAAGGTGCAAAGTGGTTTGTCAGCTCTTCTGCATGTTCTAACAAATTAGACATGCATCCCAAAAGGTATACTACAATATTAAAGCTTATTTATACACACTGTGAAGTTTCCCCTGAGTGTCCTGGCAGGCACGTGCATGGCTGGGCAGTATCCGTGGACTGATTCCTTTGTGAATTACATGGAGCTGACAAGGCTGAAACCCACAGCTGACTTGGAGGAGGATGGAAGCTTGTGCTGGGTGAGGGGCTAGGCCCCTCTGTGTAAGTCATATTAATCTCCTCTGAGCAGAGTGGTACAAAATTACTAAAGCTGCTTCTTGAAGACACTTCTAACGCAGTACCTAATGAAAATGTCAGGCGCGATGAGTTATTAGTTGCTGCACTGCTGTTCTGAAGTCCCAGGTATTTCTCTACCTGCTATCTGTGAACGTGAGTTTTGTGGGGAAGGCAGTCACAGGCTGAGGAAAGCATCAGCAGTCGTGTGTGCTGACAGGCCTGGAAAGTGAGTGAGGACAATGAAGCTGGTTGAAGTGCCCCAGGAAATGGCCAGACTTCCATAGTGGAGGTGAGGTGAAGAAGTGAGCCCTGGCAAAGGTGTGTGGGGAGAAGAAGCTGCCTGGTGTATGATGCTGAGTAATGATATAACCCAAATCATCTGACTCTGCAGATTTGAAAGTTGCTATTATTATTAAGAATTCAGATGGGAAAATAAATATGGTTTGGGTTATTTCCGTAGTCATTCCAGAAATCCAGGCTCAGTTTGGCATTTATTGACATAACTGTTTATTTTGGATCCGTGTAGAAGTTTGTGTCTTTCTGACTTGTGTGATACTTCAGCCTTTCCTTGGAGTCTCTGCAGCTTCTCTTCCTCCCTTGCTCACATCCAGTCATTGTCAAATGGCTCTGTGCAAGTTAGTCTTTCTCGACCTCCATTTTTTTGGATCCTGCCTTTGTTCGATCTCGTTTCTCTTTGCCACCCTCCTTGCCTGTACTCTGTCCAGTCCAGGCCCTCTGGACCTCTTGCCTGGACCTCCAAGCTCTCCCTCCTCCCATCTCTTCCCTTTCAATCTTCCTACCAGAGCACAGCAGTAGTGACAGCTAACACCATTTAATAGGAACCCTTTCTATGCCAGGCCCTGAGGTTGCTATGTCACATACGTTATTTGTAATGTTTGCAATAACCCTGGAAATGGTATTATTACCTCCATTGTACAGTTTAGAAGGCACCAAAAGAAGGTACATAATGTGCCCACATTCATGCCAGCTAACGAGGGGCAAAACTAGAATGAGAACCCAGGGCCACTGGGTCCCTCAGTTCCTGCTATTCCCTAACCATGCTGCTTTCTCCGCTCAGAATCCTTCAGTGGCTCCCATTGCCTAATAGATCAAGTCTGGTCTCCTTATCTTGGCTTCCGGGTCCTCTAAAATGTAGACTGCTAGGTTTCCAGGCTTTCCTCTCCACCCCTCACACATCCTGCTCTTTAGCCAAAAAAACAGACAAAAACCCCAAAACAAAAAAACATTTTTATTATACCCGTGCTTTCTAAGTGCTTTTATATGTGCTATTTCTCCTGCCGGGAGCAGAGACTGTCACGCTTTCCTCTGTATAAGTAAATGTTGCCCAAGAAAACATTGAACAGAGTTGGGCTAGAGATCCATTTATTTTCTGGTTCACAAAGGGCATATTGGATCTTTATTAAATAGTCTAAAATGTCCTTTCAATGGTGTTTTTCTTTAATATCTTTTTAAAAGACATTTAAAGTGAATCAGAAAGCAATTAAATGATTAATTGCTGCGGCTGGATTCTGCTGCCCTCAGCCTCTGTGGATGCTATCTGACCGATTAACCTCCATTTCTGAGCTCTGTCTGATTGAGGGAAGCAGTGACGGAAAACGCTTGGCCTGTCACATGACTGATCCTTGCTGTCATGAGCCATCGTTTTCTAACTGCAAGCTTTCATTTTCAAAGCCCTGGCATGATTTCAGGAGCTGTAAACCCTCATGTGAGTAAGTGAGCAGTAAGAACTGGCAGTTTTTCAATCTTAAGTCTCTCCAGCTTTAAACCCACATTTAGCTGTGATTCTTTTTTTCTCCTTAAATTGGACATTTTTTTAGTGAATACTTTTTTGATAAATAAAGTGGGGTGAAGGTGAATTTGACTGAGACAGATATGGATTGGTCCATTTAGGGCTGACCCTGAAAAAAAAAAGTCATATCAGTCTTGACATTAATTCCGTAGTCAGAGTAGGTGAGAGAGGAGTGGATGAGTATATAGGGTTCCCAGCCTTCCCAGTACAACCATGGATTCTCGAGTTGGGGACATTAAAAATGTACATGAAGTTTATGATTTAACTGGTAGAGATGGCCCACAATGCCAATTTGGACAGGCATTACTCTAAATGTCTTAGGGAAGGTCAGGAGACATCTACTCCAAGGTGTAACTTCTAGGACAGTTTGTGGGGTATCAGGGAAGGATATATCATTGGAAAGATTTCTAGTTGCCGTACATAAATAATTGGGCTTCAGTTTTAATGCAGAATTAACTCTTCTCAGTGTGTTATTAGCTGGACAATGCAATTATTACTTTATTTACGTTAGTGTTTATAGGTAATCTGAAAAGAAAAATGTGAATATAATATGAACTATCTCAAAGATTTGTCTCTGCTTGATAGTTTTATTTCAAATTTATATATCAAATGTTCCATTACCCTTTTTTCATTTTATTTTTTAGCTTTCAAAACAAATTAGCTAGAGGAGGAAAGAGGAGAGGGAGAAACTATGCACACCACCAGAATGTTATAGTAGGCAATATCATGAAAGCAATGTTGGAACTTTATACTCAGGTTTTGATTGTGCATCTATCTCTTTGCTGCCTTCTCCTTTGTCTTCATCTTTACCAAGTAATTATTGACCATCAAATGCCATTATGATACCGTCTTAAGAAATGGATGTAAAGAATTCTACAGGAAAAAAACCACATTGTTAGTGTATGAAATTTATTTAGAAGACAGTTACAGACACATATAAAAATGATAGCAGCTTATGTTTATGAAGCACTCACTATATGCCAAGCACTTTCTATTAGCTAATAATAATATTTGCTCATTTAATATTAGCTCAAATAGTAATATTAATATTATTAACTCATTTAATCCTCTCGACAACTGTATAGGGTAGTACTGTTATCCATATTTTATGGATAAGGAAATTAAGTCAAAAAGAGATGAAATAATTTGTTTATAGTCATGTAGCTAGGAAGTGGTAGAGTCACATGTTGAACCCAGGCAGTCTGAATCTGGAATAATAATAATAATAAAAGGTATAACCAGGGTGGAAACTTATTTTGCTCTTTTCAGGTTTCCTAGACTTTCCATCACCACCAGTGAATTCCGAGTGACAGTAGTGTGGAATTTGGAAGAATGGAAGAGAAACTGAAGTAGAGAGATGGTGAAAGAGAAGAAAAAATGAAGAAAGATGCTTGCAAAAATACTGCCATGGGTCCTGAGATGAAGATTCTGGGAGGGTAGGTGTGGCAATATCTCCCATTCTGTGCTTACCTGGGCCTCAGCTGGTACCAGCAGGCAGGCATGGGCAGTCAGTTAAGGAGTGTGGCTGGTGACTGGTGTGTCATGCATCGCACTGGTTTCCTGCTCCTCAGGCTGAAATGGATGCCCCTGACAGCTCCCTTTGAGTTCCTGTTCATCTGAAGTACACCATCCTTCTAGATCTGCTGTCACTTTCCTTCTGCAGAGCCACAGTGGGCTCCTGTCTTCTCAGACCTCTTCTCACCTCAAATCACTTAGGACACGGCCACCAGACAGGTTTGGGATTTCAGAACTTTGCAGATGTTAGAAAGGTAAAATGGTATATATTGCATATGTAGTATTTCTAGTAGAGTCTGGGTCAGCACCTCATAAGCAAATACATTAATATTTTGATTGCAACATATATGAATCATCATCCTCAGGTCAGTAGTGGCTATGCAGAACCTCATGTCAGAAAGGTCAGATTTTGGCCACCTATGGAGTTTTTATGTCAAATATGTGAAAAACTTTTGGTTGCAGGGCTTTTGGGATTTTGGAACTGAGGATAGGTATCATGGACCATATCATTACCAGTTCCTTCCTCTTTCATCAAGGTCATGTGCATGAAGATGCTGACAAAGCTGTTCCTACACTTCCTGTGCTGGCTGGGAAGGGATCTGATTCGGGCTGAGCCTTAAGAATCACAGTTCCAAGCTTTCTTCTCATTCCAGATTTTAGTCGGGAAAGTAGGCATTCTGGAAGTAGAGTCCATATCTACACTTTATACATTCCCTGTAGGTTTGATGAGCAAAAAGTAATAAAGGAAACACAAACTCAGAAAAGAAAAGGTTTTTCTAGGAAAGATCTATTTACCCTACTTAGGCCTCTACCCTTCTTCCCTTGGGAGTTTCTTAGCTTAACTTGCAGGATCACAGATTAAAGTACAATATAGCAAGTGTTATTAAAAACAACCTGTAAAACTGCATTATCCCAAAGATTTAGCAGCTAATTTTCTGTTGCCTTTAATTCTCACATCATTTTTTTTTCAGGGTATAACCTTCTTTAAATTTTATGCCCTGCTCTCAAATTCCTTCTGGGTTTAATGACTAATCTCTTTATTTATGTTTACCCTGGTGAAGCCTGTAGAAAGAAAATCATAAATTAATGGCATATATTTGCAGCTATAAACAGGGGACAGATTCAGAAACATACAAACATGCCTGTAACCTATTTCCTGGAATTACAATGCTCAACTCCCAATTAACCTTAGATTTACAAGTCTAATCAAATGGCCCAGTCCATTTCCATTGAAAAGCTGTGTACTGTGTATAATCTTTCACTTTACCTAAATCTGTAGTAGACTTTGGGAAATAAACTCCTTTGTGGAGTCAGCCATTCTATTGGATGAAGTCAATGTCCCTTTTTAGGACCTTGAGCTACCACTTTATGTACTCTAAGACACAGTTTGCAAAGGACCAGTCTGCCACACCCCATGTAGAAGGAGAACTGTGCTGACTCCCACCACAGGGTGTGTTCTGTGGTAATGGAAGACTGTGCTGAGTCACTTACACTGTGTCCCTGGGTCTTCCTTAAGGACAGTATATGGTTTTAGAAGATAATAAGCAAACATTTATCTACCACCTCTCTAGATCAGCAAGGCATTCTTTTTTTTCTGACACAGAGTCTCACTTTTCCGGCCAGGCTGGAGTATAGTGGCACGATGATCTCGGCTCACTGCAGCCTCTGTCTCCCGGGCTCAAGCAATTCTCCTGCCTCAGCCTCCCAAGTAGCCGGGATTACAGGCGTGTGCTACCATGCCCAGCTAATTTTTGTAGTTTTAGTAGAGACGAGGTTTCACCATGTTGGCCAGGCTGGTCTCAAACTCCTGACCTCAGGTAATCTGCCCACCTCAGCCTCCCAAAGTGCTGGGATTACAGGCGTGAGCCACCACGCCTGGCCAGGTATTCTTCTAAGCCCTTTCTGCTGTGAACTCATTTAATATTCTTAACAAACAAAGGGACAGGAACCATTATAATCACTGTTCAACAGATGAGAAAACTCAGGCACAGAGAGGTTAGGTAAATTGTCCAATCAGCCTTAGCTAGTGACTGAGGGAATGGGGTTTTGAACCTGTCAGTCCTTCCTAGGATCTATTCACATAACTAGGAAGTCACATTGCTTTCTGGGATATTGCATAGCCTATGGCAAAACCTGAATGGTGTGGAGCTTGCCATATGGGCTTCATTAGAATGTACCCTCCCCCAGTTGCAGTGAGCTGAGATCGCGCCACTGCACTCCAGCCTGGGCAACAAGAGTGAAACTCCGACTCACAAAAAAAAAAAAAAAAGAATGTACCCTCCCCCAGTGCTTTTCAAACCTTGGGGCTCTGCAGAATCCCTAAGGGTCATGGGAATGAGAGGCAAAGGAGGCTCTGGACTTCTACATCCACATCAGCCAGAACCAGTCAGCGCTTTAAATGTTATTTGCTAACACTAAGAGTTTATCTGAGTAAGGGGTTCTGCAGCTCACAAGAAGCTTAAGAACTATGGCTCTAAACAATCAAGCCAGTTAACTCATACGGGGTGGTACCAGTTGCAAAGAGAAATGAGATGTAGAAACCCTGACCCCAGTGCTGTGTGTTGCTGTTACACTCTTTTTACTATAGTCAATGTCATAGTTGTGAAGTCAGTGTGCATTTTGGTGATGACATTACAGGGTAAACTAGAGGCTGCTGCCTGGGTACCACAGGGTGGTGACCAGATCAGGTGCTTTCACAGTAGAAGATGAAAAAGGCCAGCCAATGCTAGAGCCTGGTCTAGGGAGGGGTAGGAGAGATGAGGCAAAAATGCTCAACATGGTAGGAAAGGCATGAAATTAAAGAAAGTGGTGAACAGAGCCAAGGGCAGGTGCTAAAATGAGGGTCCATACTCTGTGAATTAAATTGTTGAAAGTAGGGCTGGGAGCAGCAGAAGAGGAATCGATTGAAGGTGGCAAGATGAGAAAGACAGGACGGAAACTTCCCAAGGAAATTGTGGACCACAGAGGACCCCAGGAAAGAGACTCTTGAGTCAAGAGAAATAAAAAGCTAGGCAGAAAATTTTTTTGTTAAAGTTTATGCGATTGGTATATCAGAGTAAAACAAAGGATTACCACAAAGCATTTTACCAAGTATCTCACCATGCCCTTGATTAGGTGGATTCAAAACTGGCTAAGTGAACTTTATCCAAAGGTGCTGCCTACTGGGCTACAGACCATCGTGGAGGGCAAGTATGGCTCTGCACTCTTCAGCCTTGTTTTATAAAGCAAATGCTGTAGGGCTGGCACGTTGGCTCATACCTGTAATCCCAGTGCTTTGGAAAGCCAAGGTGGGCTTGCGCCCATGAATTTGAGGTCAGCATGGACAACATGGGGAGACCCCCATCTCTACAAAAAATTAAAAAAATTAGTCAGACGTGGGGGTGTACACGTGTAGTCCCAGCTACTTGGGAGGCTGAAGTGGGAGGATCTCTGAGTCCAGGAGTTCGAAGCTGTAACGAGCTGTGATTGTGCCACTGCACTCCAGCCTGGGTGATAGAGTGAGACTCTGTCTATCTCAGAATAAACAAATAAATGCAAATGCTCTGACAAGGCTCTGACATTATATGTTACTAAAGAATGATGTTCTCTGATTTGTCCTGTGTGTGTCCATTTCCTCATTGTTTATAGTTGTTAGTATGGGATTTCTGGATGAGCCTAGAGGGCCCATGAGTCCTCTGAGATTATTATACTAGGCGTATCTGCTTACTTTTCTGTCTGTCTTGCTAGAACAGGAGCAACTTGTGGAAGTGAAGCAAGTCAGAACTGACAAAAGAAAAGCAGTGTACATATTGATCCATGGTTGAGCTATAATTGATTCATGCAGTACTTACTGAGTATCTCAAACATGCTTGCAGTTGAGTACTAGGCACACAGGAAGAGGGATATGAAAAAATTAACAAACAGCAAAATGAGCATTATTGTTGTAATGTGCTGTGATAGAGGAAACACGCCCGAAAGGCACCTGCTCTAGCCTGAAGAATGAGAGTTTTCTTTCTGAAGAGGAAACATCAGTTGCTTGTGGACACATGAGAGTTGGGTGTCCTGTATGAGGCAAGGAGAAGGGGTTCCAAGACAGAGATGAGAAATAGCATAGTGTATGTGCTAAAATGCAAGTTGTTTGGGATGGGGATGGTGAAGGGCACCTGTGAGGGCCGAGGTAGACAGGTCCAGGTGGAACAGGCTTTAATACCATATTAAGAATTTATATTTTTATCCCCAATTTAGATTTTAATGGCCCCAAAACCACTGGGGCCATTAAAAGATTGAAAGTAGGGAGTGGCATGATGGAATTTCTATTTTTGAAAAATTATGAAGGCAACAGTGTGAAAGATGCAATAGGAAGGGGCAAGAGCATGGACTGGGGAATGTTGTAGAAGGCCACTACAGAAACTGGGGTGAAAGACTGTGTTGGTGTGCTGTCACTTACGGCTTCCATGGGTGCTGTTACTCTGTGTAGCTGCTGCTGCTAGATCACTGTTTCTATTACCACAGGGATGGTCAAGGGGGAGCAGGATCATCTTAGACCATGAGGGAGGATGAGCTGGAAGAATGAAGAGAGAAGTGTCTTGATGAGGAGGTGGAGGTGTATGAAGTGACGAAGAGTCTGTGAGGAGAATGAGGAAGGGCAACCAGAGAAATCAAGAAAAATTAGGAGACAGATCTCCTAGAAGCCAAGAAGATGGTGGTAAACTAATAAGTGATGGGAGCAGTGAAGGAAAAAAAAAAAAACGGAGTATGTTTATATTGGTGGCAAAAAGAGTTTGCTTTCAAGTGCCTTGTTAGCACACCTGTGATCTGACTAAGTTACATCAGTGGGAGGCAGAGGATGAAAGGATGCCGGCCTCTGAGACCGACTTCAGTTCTTTGAGTGTTTGAGAAACATTTCAAGTCTTAGTCAGTGGCTTTGGTCATGTTGAGGATGATGCCCTGAGGGCTTTCACCGCAGAGACAAGCCGACTTGTTCAAATCCATTCTCAAATAGTAAAACACAGGCAAAGGTAAAACATGCAGAACTGCTGCACCATGATCAAAACATGTACTCTGTCACATCTAATGGCTTCAGGCACCCCTTGAACTTTTGAGTTAGCAAAAACGGGCAAATAAAGATGAAACTTGTCTTTCAGTTCTCCTTATGTGTTTTTTAATTGTTTCCTCCTTGGTTCCTCTGCAACAGCCCTGCGGTCTCTGCATGTTCAGTGGCATGTGGGGTGACCCACACTTGTCTCAGCATCTTCAGGGGAGTTGAGAACAGCTGCCCCCAGCCTTCTGTACTTGTCAGGCATACAGTGGGGGAGACATAGCCCTGGCACGCCAATCTCTTCCCTGATTTAAAGTGTCAAAGCATTTTGGAATTCCGGTCTTGGTGTTAAAAACTCTCCATGAACTTTGATAGGCTTCAGTGGTAGTCACTACCTTAGGATGCTGATGAGGAACAACTGCTAGCCTGCCTATGGTGATGACCTTCGAAAAGCCCATGAACAGAACTATTACGAATCATGAGTAAGAAGATTAGGGAAAAGCTGGGCGCGGTGGCTCACGCCTGTAATCCCAGCACTTTGGGAAGCCGAGGTGGGCGGATCACGAGGTCAGGAGATCGAGACCATCTTGGCTAACACAATGAAACCCCGTCTCTACTAAAAATACAAAAAATTAGCTGGGCGTGGTGGCAGGTGCCTGTAGTTCCAGCTACTCGGAAGGCTGAGGCAGGAGAATGGCGTGAACCCCGGGAGGCAGAGCTTGCAGTGAGCGGAGAATG